TTTAAGCTCAGTGTTAGATATTAAATTTAAGTTTGAGTGATCATGTAACCTAGGTCACCAGGTGACAAAAAAAAAAAAAAAAACAAAAAACAAAACAAAACGCAAACAGTTGTGATTACCTAATCAACAAGAAAAACTCTCTCGAGTAATATTTGTCATTTATCACTCCGATAATTTTCTTTCTCACTCACTATCAAGTGATAATTATATTTTTCCTTTTTTATTACAAAGGAGGGTTTCAAACCCTAAATTTTTAGCTTACTCCTACTCAATAGTCAATACTATACTCACCCTTTAGCTTAAGCTAAGTTTATTTTAAACAAAAACCATGCTATAACTTTATTTAATAAAAAAAACTTAAATTTTAATAATGAAAACAAAACAATTTAAATTTTAATGAAAAGGACACAATTTTAATATTAAAAAAAAAAAAAAAAACTAGCGTGCGGGATCCGCACCTACACTGTTTATGAAACTTAACAATACTTCACTATTTATGAAATTGAACACTATTGATGAAACTACTATTTATGAAATTGAAAGGTACTATACTATTTATTGGTCCAGATTCATAAATAGTGTCTAGTTATTAGGTTCTATTTCATATATAATGTATAGAAATTGGTATAGTTTCATAAATAGTGTCTCATTCTTGGTCAAGTTTCATAAATACTGTCTAGTTCTTGGTCCACTTTCATATGTAGTGCCTGTTCTTGGTCATGTTTTATAAATAATGTCTAATTCTTGTCCAGTTTTATACATAATGTATAATAATTGATACAATTTCATAAATAATATCTATTTCTTGATCTAGTTTCATAAATACTGTCTCGTTCAATTTCATAAGCAGCTATTTTTAATTTCATTAGCTATTGGAATTCCCAAATCTTTTCACTCACTTTTCCCTCCTCCAAAACACAGACAAGAACAACTAAATTATCAATTTCTTGCAAAATAATCACAACTGACATTTGTAGATTCCAATATATTTGCAAAATGATCATAACTAAATTATAATATTCCAATATATTTGCAGATATGCAGATGCAGATTCCCATATCCTCCTCTACATAAATCTCTTCCTCTTTAACTTTACCACTTTTTACTTTATTTGTGATGGAAAACAAGACACAGCAACGACATAAATGGTGGAAACCACACAAGGAGAAAAAGATGGATCATGATTCAGCAGCAAACTCCAAAGGATTGACTTGCCCGGTCATTGTATGCTTTTCGCGTTCGTTTTCAAGCTGGCTGTAGTTTCCTCTGGTGGTGTGCAGCAAATGTTGGAGATGACGGGGAGAGAGAAGTAAAGGGGTTGGTGTGCTCACGCGCTTTTAGTTAGGGTTTTTTTTTTTTTTTAAATTTTTTTTTCTTCTCTTTTTCTCTCATGTCCTTACCATTAAATAAAGTTAGTAGATGATTTTTGGTTAAAATTCAAAGTTTTGAAGTCATTTTTATTAGTTTTTCTTAAAAGAAAAATGTGGTTTTTGAACTTTAATTCTTGAAGAAGATTAAAATTTAATAAAAACCTGGTGTTAGATTGAATATTGATTTTGGTCCTTTAATGTGTTCTCAATTCAAATTCATATTATATTTGTTAGATCCCACATCGCCCAAGGGAGTGGATCCTGTAAGCCTTATATATATATTTCTATCTCTACCTATTATGAGGCATTTTGAGAGCTCACTGGCTTTGGGTTCCATCAGAACTCCGAAGTTAAGCGAGTTCAAGCGAGAACAATCTCAGGATGGGTGATCCACTGGGAAGTTCTCTTGTGAGTTCCCAGAAACAAAACTGTGAAGGTGTGGTAGGAGCCCAAAGCTGACAATATCGTGCTACGTACTGTGGAGTTGAGCCTAGAATGTGGTGGGGCCCGGACCGGAATGTGATAATATTTTTGTGTTAATATTTAATAGATATCTTAGTTAATGTCATTATATTGAAATTTTAAATTTATTATTATACACATTTTAATTCATTAATTTTCTTTAACTTTCTCTAATTAGTGTACCTAAATGATCATATCATAATATATATTTCTAAATTAGTGTACTCAAAAGTCTGTACCTAAATATATTGTAGTGAATTAGTGGTAAATAAGAAAATATGCAAAAATATAAGTGTAACAAAAATTCCGTACCTAAATATATGGTACTAAACTAGTGTACTAAAATGTCGGTACCTAAACATGTTATACTAGCTTAATATATCGAAATGTTCATATCTAAAAATATTGTAATGAATTAGTAGCACATAAGAAAATATGTAAAAACATAAGTGTATTGAAAAAATTTGTACGAAAATATTTTGAGAAGTTTTATTTGAACCCTGATTTTCTATCTCTACACCCAACTTAAAAATTTATCCACCAAACATTCAATTTTACCCTTAAAATTAATAAATAATATTAAAACCTCCACTCGAAAAGAAAACACCATTTTTATCTCTACACCCCTTCGTATTTTCCAATAATCCAAGCGTTGGGACATCCTTGACGACTTCAACGACCACCATCCCCATCTTCTCTTTACTTCTTAACTTAATAGGAACCACAACGCTTTGCTTGTGACACTGTCGAAAATGGTGCCGCCCTATTCTCGTCCATCAACTACCCTCCTTGCCGGCCTCTCTTTGTTTACCAATCGGTTGGAGCTTGTAGTTCTTCTATCTTTATATCATCACCAAAGTTGATGGTGAAGCTGACAGAGCATTGTTCCTAATCTGTCAATGTTAACCATTTGTAATTTGCATAGCAAACTGTATTCTATTTGGTTTCATATGATGAATTAGAATTAGGATGAAAATAATTATAAAATAATACGGAGTGTATTAGGTTTCATTGGTAATTCTTCCCAATGGATTCAATTCATTTGGATCATACTGTGCATCAGATTTTTGAGTCTTTTTCTCATTACCCTAATTTTTGGAGGCAATTGACTACGACGACAATGGCGTGTTGGGTTCACGGGTAAAAAGTGAGCGGGTGTGGAGATAGAATAGTGTTGTTGCTCTTCGGGTGAGTTTTGAGTTCTAATATTATTTATTTATTTAACGATAAATTGGGTGTTTGGTGGACAAATTTTATAAGTTGGGTTTAGAGATACAAAATCAGGGTTCAAATAAAATTTTCCAAATATTTCCTTATATAAGATACTTCCTATAATGAGAATTAAAATTCATAATATTTTTATAAAACTTAATTTATGAATACCATAAAATTATAAATAAAGAAGAGAGAAATTGAATACATATACTGGCATAAAGTAGTCTAAGGACTAAAATCAATTTTTAATCTTATATAAGATATTTTTCTAAACTTATCTTATTTAAGAATTATAATCTAATTGACGAATTTTAAAAGAGCGCATTGCTTTTGTAATTGAATCTTGAAAGATAATTAAAGAAAGTACGTTGAAAAAGCACTGTATTAATCTAATGTTAGTGAATTGTTCCATCAGGCTTTTAATGGAACTTTCGTGGCCCTTGGCAATGGCATTCACTTGCAACGACAAGAGATGCATGGGAACTCCACAAAAGTCAACAATGCTATATATATATATATATATGGGCAAAAAACTGTTTATTACCCTTATGTTTCGTGGTTTTCAACATTTAGTACATCAAATTTTTTTCGTTTCAGAGTCATACCTAAAGTGTTAATTTTGGGACAGTCTCATACATCCGTTAGTCAAATTGTTAATTCTCCCATTAAGTGATGACCTGGTGCCCATGTGGACAATGGCTGGGCACCACGTGGCGTTACAAATATTAAAATAATTAATTAAATTAAAAAAAAAAAAAACAAACAAACCCCATCCCTTCTTCCCCGCGCCCCCAACCCAGAACAAGAACAAGAATCCAGAAGAAGAAGAAGAAGAAGGAAAAAAATAATAATAAAGAAAACCCTAGTCCTGGCCCTAACCCAGAAGAAGAAGAAAAAAAAAACAAACCCAGTTCGTTGTTTCCAGATCTAGTTCAAAAATAATCTCAAACTCAAACTCCCCATCTCAAAGTATTTTCGAAATTCACCCACACTGAAAATCCCAAAAATATGGAGTTCATTGTCTGGGTTTGTGGTCGTGGTCGCGCCCGGGGGGGGGGGGTGGGACGAACTGGATTTCTGCTTCTTCTGGGTTGCAGATTCGGTTTTTTTTTTTTTTTTTTTTTTTTGTTTTTTCTTCTTCTTCTTCCTCCTCTTCTGGGTTGCAGATTAGGTTTTTTTTTCTTCTTCTTCTTCTTCTGGGTTGGGGGCAGGGGGAGAAGGGATGGTTTTGTTTTTCCTTCTTCTTCTCTTCTAGGTTGGGGGCGGGCGTAGATGGGATGGTTTTTTTTTTTAAATCTTTTATTTAATTAATTAATATTTTTAATGCCACGTGGCGCCCAGTCATTGTCTACATAGGCGCCACGTCATAACTTAACGGGAGAATTAACAGTTTGACTAACGGATGTATGAGACTGTCTCAAAATTAACACTTTAGGTATGACTCTAAGACGAAAAAAACTTAATGTACTAAATGTTGAAAATCACGAAACATGAGGATAGTAAACAGTCTTTTGCCCTAGAGAAAGAGAGAGAGAGAGAGGGAGACTTTAAGGAAAAGAGATCTCTATTTTTTTTATAAAAATAGAGATTAGTTGTGGGGTCAAAAATCATTTATTTTTCAAGTTGTACTTCATAGATCATTCTTCCAAAATATTAGCCAAATTGGAAATGTTTAAAACATCTAATTGGGTTCAAAGAAATGAATATAAGAAACAATGAAATTTGATCTTGATAATTAAATAGGCGAATGGTTTCAGATTGAATTAAATTTTTGCAAGGATGATCTATGAATTGAGACTTACAAAACGGTTCAGATTGTTAAAATTCAATGTGGAGTGGGCCCCACACCTAATTCTTTTTTCTTTTTCTTTTTTCAAAAAATGAGGATCCTTTGCATAAAGGGCCTATATATTCTCGACTTAATAATTAGCCGTTGTGTGTGTGTGAGAGAGAGTATGGATACTGATCTTGAAAAAGGGCATGGATTAAGCCCTCCAGCTTCTGCGGGAAAGCACAAAGAAATAGAAGCAGCTCCCGATGATAGTAAAATAATAGATCACCCTGGCAATGAAAAAGAAGAAATTCCAATACCCAGGGATGGGACCTTGGTGTCCATATACAAAGTTCCTGCCAGCCTTGCCGGACTCAGTTCCAAAGCCATTGAGCCAGAAATGGTCTTCATGGGGCCATGCCACGGCGACAAGAGAACGTCGTCGGAATTTGAGAGCTACAAGCGTTGGTATCTTAGTGCACTCCTTACTCGATCAAACCGTCTTCAAACAGAGTACTCCGAAGCCATGAGAAGGTTGGAGGGAAATACAAGAAGTTGCTACTCTGAGGATCATCGTGAGTTCATCTCCAAGTTGAAGGGAGAGGAATTTGTAGAGATGATGATGCTTGATGGGTGCTTTATCATTGAGCTTTTTCATCGTATGAATATGGAAGATCTCACGGACGAAAACGATCCCATCTTAAGCAGGCCATGGTTGATTCCAATTGTCACCAGGGACCTCCTCAAGCTTGAAAATCAGATCCCTTTCTCTGTCCTCCAAGAATTACACAACATCTCCACGAATCAACGTCAAGAAGGCTACTCTCTAGTCCTTCTTGCGCTGAATTTGTTCAATAATTCGTTGCATCGGCCTATTGAAGTCCTTAAAAAGTCACAACCGTCAGAGGACCCCAAGCACTTGCTTGACTTGTTTTACTCTAGCCTTATTCCGCAAAATCCAATTACTGATCCAAGTGCGTTAGCGTGCAAGAGCTTGCTTCACTTCTGCTTCCGTTCCCCAAAACAAAGTACAAATCCAAGTGCACAAAGTATTGATCCAAGCGAGTCAGAAGGCAAGCGCTTCTGCTTCCGTCCCCAAAAACAAAGTACAGTTCCGAATGGTCCATCGACCCGAAAAAACAAAAAAAAATATCCAAATGACCCTTCTCAAAAGTACTGTCCATCCTCCGAGTCAATCCAGTGTACCGTACAACTAAGATCCTCCGGTATAAAGTTCAAGCCACAAAGAGCGGACAGCTTCTTGGAGATCAATTTCCAAGGTAGCGTTATTAGCAGGTGTAAGGAACTACAAATCCCACCTATAACAATCAACGATTTCACCACTACCCTCTTCATCAACTGCATGGCCTTGGAACAATGCCGCCAAAACAGTCACACGTGGTTCACCACCTATATTGCTTTCATGAGCAGTCTCATCACATCACCTAGAGACGTCACATTCCTTTGTTCTGATGGGATCGTCACTACTGGCTTCTCATACAACGACCAAAAAGTGGCAGAGCTGTTCAAAAAGTTGGGGGAAAAAGCTGGCTTCAACATAAGAGAATGCTACCTCTCCAAGCAATTCACAGATGTGGAAGCATATTACAGCAGCTGTCGGGCTACTTTCATCCGAAATTATTTTAGCAGGCCATGGTCCTTCATCTCAGTTCTCTACGCCGTCTTCCTTTTTGTTTTAACTCTGGGCCAAACTGTTTTCTCTATCTTGAGCTACATAAACGACCGCAGTTAGAATTGCACGAATGCATGTGGGTAAAGCCCCTCGCTTTGTTCTTGTCTTTGGATTTCGCTGGGAACCTTGTGAGTGTGTTTGATACGGCCTAGGGCCTTTTGTTATTTGCGTGTTGTGATGGTATATGTGACTCTTTTCCTTTTGATACTTATTGAGTTGTTAATATGTACCTATTAAGGTCCGTTTAATTTCGGATCACCAGAATTATAGAGGTGAGATTGGTAGTGGTGATGATGATATAAAGTGAAATCAAACTAAATAAATCTTAACGAGTACCCATTAATAATTCAATTAGCTGATTTGCCACCCCTACTGATAGCACTTACTACCTAGTTAATTAGGATTGTGAGCAAATTTGCACTCTGAGAAATAAAGGAGGTGCCAAGGCCTGATTCCATTTTTCTTCTTGGTTTTTTTTTGACATCGAGCCCCCATCCCGACAATCCCTTCCAATAAACGTTTATGTATACTTTAATGCCCTCAATCCCCCTTCCAGTTATAGGTTGCAACTCCCATCCTCACTAACTATATTTACTTTGATTATTCGGCGGCAACAAGTATTGTTTATGTTTGTGCAATGGTGTTAAGACCATCTCCAATGGTTGGGTTAAAAGCCAAATTTTTTAGTCCGGAAAATTTAGCTTTTAGCCCAGAAACATATTTTCTGCTCTAACCGTTCTAGCTTAAAATTTTAGCCTGAGATTATTAAAGAATGAACTTAGGCTTTTTTTTTTGTTAAATTATTTAAAAAAAATAAATAAATATGTAGACTATCGTAAATTAATTTTATGAACATTTTAATTTAAAAAAAAATTTAATTCCGATAAATATTGGGTAGAGTCCACTCCGATTTCTGGGCTAAATGTTGGGGGAAATTTGGCATTAGTTTAGCATTTAGCATTTAGCCCCTTGGATTGGAGTGGGTTTGGGAGGTAATTTGACTTTTAGCCCACCATTGGAGTTGGTCTAAGGCTATAAGGATCTGCACGTCGTTCTTTGATGAAGATGAGGTTCACAATAGTGTTTACATTAATTAGTCACATGAACTAATATACATTTAATTGTTTCTACCTGCTGTAGGTGCATAATTATGCTTAGGTACATTATGATGTTGTCTTTCTACAGATAGATAATGCTATTATGCCTATGCCAAAGGTTGATAATAGTATTCTACTTCTTTTTGAAGATACACAATTCCTGTAGCGTTGTTTCTTCTCTACGATAGTTAATTATTTACTTGTTTTGTTTTGTTTTTTTGTTTTTTTGTATTATCAATTTGTATCGTACCTCTTCAATGAATAGGTTTGATACATATGCATAGGTAACGTATATATATGATTTGTTTACTTGTTGATAATTTTCTTAAGAATTGAAGTTTTTATGGCAGCAATGCAAGGTTTCAAAATTTAATGTGCAAATAATGCATTTAATCAAGATATTCAAAATTATTTTCCTTATTTATCTAAAGGGTAAGTTCTTGAGTGAAAAAAAAACATTCAAAATAAGAAATTTAATAGACATTAATTAACAAAATAATTATTTTGAGCTTCCTCTAAAATGTTGTGTGTTGATTAGGTCTAAATGAAAAGACCCTCAGATTTAATTAAGCCTATTTCAAAAGAGGCACCTGACTAAATCGATCTGGCGATCCTAAAGTTGACATTACGAATCTAACGTCAAGAAAATAAGAGATTTTATATGTGTTTATAAGTAATTGAAATCATTATATATAATTAAGTAAATTACTTAAAACTAACTCAATTATAAGTCACACCGCAATCTCATATCTTATCTTTTAAATATTGTAATATCATACCTCGTCTTATGAATTCATTACAATGTTAAACATCTGTTAATTTTTCTGTTATTTTTTTTTTGTTAAATAATTATATGGCAAACAAGAAGCCCACTCCTTGCCTATAAAAAAATTAATTAAATATTAATAAACTAATAATTTTTTATATAAAAAATGAATAAAAAAATCTCTCCCTCTTCTCTCTCCTCACTTCTCTTCTCCCAGAACGTAGAATGTGCTTTTTCCCCGAGCCACCGAATGGAACTTGACCAGCTCCGAGCCCGGGACCGAGTCAGGCACGCCCGGCTCTTGCAGAAAGTAGTGGGCATTGTCGAATTTTCAGTGGAAGGAACCTCTGATGTCTGTAACGGCGTAGCAAGACGGAGATGGGGGTCGGGCGGTCGAAGGAGAATTGTGCGGAATGGGTGGAGGGGGCGACGTTGAGGTGCCCAGGGGGGGAAGAGACGGCGAAATCGGTCAGTTAAGCCATTGATGGCGAAGTCTGGAGATTGAAGGGGTGAATCGAGATCGAATCGATCACCTGCAAAAAAAATTCTGGGTTTTTTTTGTATCAAAATTTGTTTGTTTCTGGGAAGAGAGGAGAAGAGTGGGGGAGCGGGATGAGTAGCCGGGGAGGTGGGGTGAGGAGGGGAGGGGTGGGGATGTTGGCGCGGGTGGGATCTGGGTTTCTGGTTGTGAAGGAAGGAGGGAGGTAGAGGGGGGTGATGGAAGGAGTTGGGGAAAGTGAGGGTGATGGGTGGTAGGGGTGGCTCCCATAATTTTTTAATTTAAAAAATTTTAAATGTAGTCATTTAATTAATATAAAATTAATTTTTTTAAATTTGAATAGGTGAGGATGTGGGTCTTACACTTGCCACTTTATTACTTAACATTCAAACTGAACAGAAAATTTAACTGATATTTGACATTGCAATGAATTCATAAGATGATGCATAACATTACAATATTTAAAAGATGAGGTATGAGATTGTCGTTCGATTCATAGTTAACGTAGTTTTATGTAATTTACTCTATATAATAGGGTTTTAGAGCAGCATAAAATAATCAAGTATTCATTTAAGAACATTTTAGACAGTTTTGGGGAGACTAACAAGGCTTTAATACACAAATTGGAGATGTTAGGCGGCGGAATCAAATTGGCCCTTCTATTCGTTGTATTTTCCTTATTAATATCATGTAGTAAAGGCTTGAGGGAAGACTTTAATTAAAAAAAAAAAATTTGCTTTTCCTTATAAATATCATGTACTAAAGGCTTGAGGGGAGACTTGATTAATTAAAAAAATATATTTGCTTTTCCTTATAAATATCATGTACTAAAGGCTTGAGGGGAGACTTGATTAATTAAAAAAATATATTTGCTTTGTGCAATTGAATTGAGTAATTTCTTCTTTCTCAAATCAAACGTTTGATTTGGTCATATCATGTACTAAAGGCTTGAGGGGAGACTTGATTTATTAAAGAAATATATTTGCTTTGTGCAAAGTGAGTGATTTCTCCCTTCTTAAATCAAGCATTTGGCTTGGTCATTTTGAGTGAATTTCATGATTAACAATGTTGATCTTGCTCTATTGTCTCTGGTTGAGAGATTACTAGGTCATCTATCTCTCATCTACTCGAGACCCTTGGCTCTTCCTGCATCAAAATTGGATCAAAACATATGACTTCAAAATGACAACAAAAATGTACAATATATCCTTTCTTAGAACAACATATATCACGACCTTCTAACTGAAGGTCACATTACAAACTTCCGGACAGCTAAATGATGTCACAATGAACTTGGGGGTTTCGATCCAAGATCTATTTGCTCTCTTCTAGAAACAGTACCACCATTCAAAAGCAACGATCTAATTACGAAGAAGAACTAGAATTGTTAGTACAGCTGCATTGGGTCCCAACACTTCCACATTTTGGGCATGACTGAAGGTCACGTCTACATTCCGAACATGTCTGCATGAGGAAGATAAAGTGAATAGAAATAGCAAATAGTATTCTCCTCTAAATCCACGTGAAAAATTATTTGTATTTGAGATAAATATTAATTCAAATGAAACAAACTACCTGACGCCCACAACCAAGGGCCATGCCTTTTGGATTAGCAAGGCAGATGGGGCACCAAAACTGTTCAACAGTATAAAAAAAGTTAGCCCCAGTGATGAACAGTCGGAAACGCAACGAATAACAGTAGGAAGCATACAACTGCGTATGCATACAAGAGAGTGTAATTGGCCTATTAATTAACAAAAAACTTCAAGGATACCATATGCAAAATATGGTAGAAGAACATACCTTTTCATCCCCACAAATCAGTTTTTGTTTGGTAAGTATTGGGGTTTGACAACGTGGGCAATGATAAACCTTCTGTTCGTATGTGCTACATGTCTGCACCAAAAGATGAATTACCACACAAAAATCTAACCCCTCAACTTTCATTCGAAACCTAGGCTTTTTTCGGTCTCAGTTGGGAAAAAATGAAGTGGGAAAAATATAATTCAAATGAAAATACCCGATGCTTGCAACCCCCATTGGATTATCATATATAGCAGATCGTGCAAACCTGTTTAAGACCATATGAAATGTAATCCTAGTCATGAACACCCAAACCACGATAAATTGTACCACCAAACATAAGCATCAATGTAGCAAATACTCATAGTTACCACTTACCACACATAAGTTTAGGTTCTTAATTTCTTGCTCAAAAGTACCATTTTCATGTTCACCCAAAAAAAAAAAAAGAAGTACCATTTTCATAAACAAATCAAAATATTTTATTGCCTTTAGTAAGGAGTTATGAGGCCGGCCCTTCACTTCTCCTAACTCTCTCCATTCCCGTTGGAGAATCCCCATGTTGAAAGTAACTGCGTTACCGTTATAACTAGCATGGCCAAGAATGGATACTCTCATATTAGGACTTCAAATATCCTGTATGGCATTTTTCACCTCCGGATCATAAATTCTCTTGATCATACAAGTACCAATTGTTTATAAAAAAACTGTGTGAACAAAATCTAGATGTGCCAGCTTAGAAGTCTCACTACTAGAAAATGTGTTATTGAGCACCGATTTGAGGGCACCATTCTCTATCAGTGGCTTTGTAAATGTATGTGTCACCAAAGTCATATTGTTTTGCTTTTTAACTTAGGATTCAGTTTTGCTCTCCTCTTTTTTTTTTTTTTTTTTTTTTTTTGTCAAAAATAGTTTTATATTCATTTAATAGTATTATTCCACATATATTTTCACATCCATATAAAATACAAAGTTATCAAACCCTAAAAGATATTTTCAACATCCGCTGCTATTCATATTTCTCTCAATTCACTCCCACTTTTTCATTCTCTGCTTCTTCCATATTTCTCTCCTCTCTCACCGCTGACAACCCAAAACAACCATGGTATTTGCCGATCTCATCTCCCACTCTCCGCTCTCTCTAGAGCGCGACAACAACGAAATTTACCTCAACCCTAATTTTCAACCAGTCG